ATCAGGAGACTACATGTGGGTCGGGAACGAGGGGCGCATGCGAGATCACGTGGCTTTGGACACCTGTGCGACACGCGTCGCTTCTCGGACATGCCACGCAGCAGCTTCGGACACGTGGCCAGCCCGGAGCGAGGATGACGTGGCTGGCACTATTCATGTGATTTTTCTCGAAAATTGTGCCCAATCTTGTAAAATCCATAACTTTCTCATACGTGCTCCGTTTTTTACGTTCTTTAGATGCACGCGTAGAGAAAATTATGCTCTACAACTTTTGTTTAGACTTTGTCGGAAAATTTTAACTTTATTTTTATATTATTATTTTTAACAAACCGGGACTGGTAAATCCGTTAAAAATTCATAACTTCTTCATCCGACGTCCGTTTTCGTCAGACTTTTTACCGTTGTACTACTAATGACGAGACCTTTGATTCTCGTTTAGGTTGTGTCGGCTAAATATCACTCGATCTAAAATTCGAGTTTTTAGTTGTCTACTACTATACCGAAACTTAGAAAAATCATAACTTCCTCATACGAAGTCAGATTTTGGCGTTCTTTTAATCGAACTTCTCGTTTTAACGAATACTACGACTTTCATTTAGATCACCAAGGCTAAAAAGTAGTTTATCAAAAACTCACTTTTTACGTCATTCGGTGTCGTGCCGGTTTTGTCGCGGATCTTCGATTGGTCATAACTTCTTCGTTATAACTCGGATTTCGACGAGGTTTTCGCCTAAATGTTTCTAAAGAGATTCTTTACAACTTTCAATAATAAAATTTTACTTATTTCAAATTTTATATTTTTCGCTAAATTTCACTATTTGGCTTTCAATTGGAATCTCATAAGACTTCCAATATTTTATGAGTGATTCTAAACATAGTTTTACTTCATTTCTAGTAAAAACTATATGTTAGAACTCAACACTCAATTTCACATAATATTTCATAATATTATTAACTTTTCAAATTACATAACACAATTTTTAAAACGTGTATGTTACACAGTATAACTTAAAGGACCTTAGGTGGTTAATTCTATAATACCTTAGTTTATACATCAGGGTTATATATAAATAATACCTGATAGGTAGTTGGATGTGTGTTTTCCGGCTCATTCCCTGTTCCTTGTTTGGTTGTGGGCTTAGGGCAGATTCACACAACTAACTATCTATTCGATATTAGATTATATATAGCTAGTATAAACTAAGTGATTATAGAAGGAACTACTGTGGTTACCAGTTTTATTATAAGAAATAAGGGTTTTCTTAAAGAATCTTTTCATCAAATTAAAGGAACTATTACAGTTAACTCCGTGAGTACCAAGTGAATACGTCAGGGTTATATACAACGATGATCTAACAAACAATGGGATGTGTGTCTTCCGCCTCATTTCCTGTTCCTTGTTTGGTTGTGGGCTTAGGGCAGATACACACAACCGATTGTTTGTTTACTCTGAGTTTTATATAACTTGTATTCATTTAATACTCATAGAAAGGACTGTAGATTCATTTTTACTTATCTTTCATCAAAGAAGGAAATATAAGATTTTCTGGAGGAACAGGAAAACTTTTCTAAACACAACTTACTACAACTTTCTACAACCTTCTTACTACTTACTTACATCACCTAATATCTTAGGAACTCACCAGCTTAAATGCTGATCTACGCTTTCAAAATAACTTGTATTCTCGGGAGACCAGTAGACAGGTTCGCGCACTGGGATTCAGAGGATGGAGTAGTATAGCTTCATGTCTTTTGTTATTTGCTATGTATTCTATATTATGTGAAACACATACTTTGTAAACACTTTCTTTGTAATGAAATGGTTGTTTATTACTTTGCTTACTATGATGCATGTCTTGTGATACTAAACATGACGTCCTCCACCCCAGAACGTTTCCGTCGTTCCGGTTTTGGGGTGTGACAACGAAAAATCAAACCAAGGTGCAAGGAAGGATGTGATCCCTAAGGCCCTCTTTATAGCCTTGGATCCCTTCCTAGGTTTTATCCTCCATCCCATATGGGACAAGGAGCCTAGAACGAAATTCAATCCTCCTTCCATATCGGACGAGGAGTTTTCGTCCATCCCTATATCCCTTAAGGGTTCTAGAATATTCATGATCAAGCAACTATTAATTAATTGATATTCAACCCTTTAATTAATTAAATTGTTTAATTAATTCCCAAAATACTTTACATTTAGTTTCTAATTAATTATTAAACCATAATAATTAATAAACCAACTCCTCCTTTATTTATTCTACTTAATCTGAGTCTTGAGTGCAACCCAAGAGGACCATGTTATTAATAGAAATATTACTAATAGTTAATGACATTGGATACTCTTTACAATAGTACGTTAGGTCCATGATAGAAAGAGTGTTTTTTGTTGATTATACGTGATGTATGCATGCTATGATTTCTTGAAAATACTTGTCTATGATGATCAGGACAAAGCATGTTAGTGATGTAATAAGCCATTATTATGAACTGATGAAATGTGCATGATAGTGTGTGGTGATGTAAAATGCTTTAACTTGTATTGACTTGTTTGCATGTTTGCATGTTTTCATAATAAGAAACTTGTGAAGTAATATGCTCTTATAGATAATAATAATTATGCATAATTACTTAAGGAGATTTAAGAGTAAATTTTGTATGTTGAATTAATAACTTATTAATTAAAAAGGGGAATACACTTAGAGGGGCAAGAGTAGCAACCTAGACTTAGGTGTGTACCCTATCCGAAATTTCTGATGGTTGAGTAGGTTGAAAAACACCTATATGATAAGAGCTTAAGCCAACACTGACTCCAAGTGGTTTTCTAGACAACCACTCGGGGCATGGTCCATGGTTTCTAGGACTGGAGTGATTTTGACGATTGATGGAACGTCGATGCAAACACCACGTGGGATTCGGGAGGTGTATTTGTAGAATTGGCACTGTTTGTATCGATCATTAACGACAATGCATGTACTAGTATATGCAAAATCGAAGTAGTGAACACAACAACAACTAGGGGCAATGTTACGGGTGAGATTTGCGCATCACTTAGTGTATTGGGTCGTATCAGTCATGTTAGTAGTGAATATGCTACTTACCCTGGGGTTACTGATGAAGATATAGACCCGTCATAGGAAGTATTATGATAATAATTACAAAGGTGATTAAGAAGAGATTAATTATTAATGATGAAAAATGAAGACTAATCTTATCTTATAATATTATAGTGATGAATTAACTAATAACTAGTTACAAAATGAATAATGAAGTGTAACTAAATGTAAAATCTCTAAAGAAGAATAATATTATTTGAGCATTATTGTGTTGGTTATGTGAGGTATCTGATGTCATGATATATGAGTGTTTGAATGCATGCTTATATGATATTTTGTCTAACCTATTTGGGATATGTACATTCCATAACATCCTACTTATGATTGACTCACTTAACGTATGTTGACACTTGTTTTTTTCCTTGCAGTGGTACATGTAGCATAGTTTGATGGCTTGGTGAGTATGGGGACTCTTGGGTAGTCCATTTAGCATTTTTTTTAGATATTACTTTGGACTTGTCGATGAGATTTCATCTGCTTTTGGTTTTGAAAACTTGTTTGGTGTTGGTTTGGTGAACTTAAACTTTTGAAAGAGGATGCTTTTGATATTTAAGTAACATTGTGATGTTTTCAAATAAACGTTTAATAAGACTTTCGTTGCACTATTCTGTTAAAAAGTGTTTAAAATAAAAATAAAAAATTTTGGTGAAAATCACGATGTTACACATTGGTGGTTAGGGATGGTTCAAGTCCATGTGGAGATTGCTAGAGTCTTATTTGGAATTTGATGGTCGTAATGGATTTATGACCAAACCTGATTAAAGTGAAGAAACCCGAAATCACCAACTCTCATACGAGTTCCCGACAGTTCATTCATTTGACCGTAAACTAGAGCTACGTTTGATTCTATAATATTTTTTCATTAATTACTCCAAATTCTTTCATTTACATGTAAAAATCATTTCCTTCACGAGTCTGCTCACCGACTCCGCCAAATACATATACGGCTATACGCATACTTTGGCAATATTGTTAATTAATTCCATAATGAGTACTGTTTTACCCATGCCAGCTCCCCCAAATAGCCTGATTTTTCCTCCACAACGATAAGGGGCTAAAAGATCTACTACTTTAATTTCGGTTTCAAAATAGATAATTTTGAATCTAACTATATAAAGGCAGGCGCATATCTATAAATAGGAAATGTTGTACAAGTATCTACAGGACCTAAATTATCAACATGCTCGCCAAGCACGTTGAAAATTCGTCCGAAGGCATAAATGTTTGGAGTATGATTAGGCCATTATGCCCGAAACTGTACACGACAAAAAATGTTTCCTATGGAGAGTGTGAGGGGGCGGAACCAACATGTATGGACTTGTTTAGTTATTTCATATTTACTTGTACATGAGCCCGGCCCAATAATTGTTAGGGTTTTCAATTATAAATATTCATAATTAGGGTTTCCAATGTATCATTGAAACAATTGCATAATAGAAAAGAAATTTTGTTTTTGCCGTATCTCATATTGACAAACCACATTAATTATTTTTGTGCTGTATCTTGTTTTTCTTTGATCCCTTGTTTAACAATTGGGTAATTGGATTATTAGATATCAAATTGGATATTTAATTGGATAATTAGATTGGATCTTGTGTATGGATGTGCTTTCCTAGTACGCTTCCTTGAATGCCTTCTTTCCAATCTCATCGAGTCCGCCATGAAATCAGACACTGATTCATTTTGCATTTTGATCATCACACAACCTCTTCATTTGTAACGCACTGAATTACGGATGGTGACTACTTCCTTTATCTTATAAAATTCTACCACTTACTTCTAACATACATATATTCATATATGTTTACTAGAAACTACCTTTCATATACGCTACTTCCAAACATACATACACTATACATAGCCACACATATGTTCAATTCTTTTGGTCTCTCACACCTTTCAAAAAACAACATATATACACTAACTTATCTGGCAATCTTGTTTTCCGAATATACACCACTTTACAATGTTTATTTACAGCCAAGGGTCAGATTCAAAAACCACATTAAATTAAAACATGGGTTCTTAAATAATTATATAATTTGTATATACATATACATAAGCATGCCTAACTTATGGCAAGCCTATCTTCAAGTTCTTTTCGGTACACCTGGATCAAACCACTGCCATCTGTAACTTGAAGCTTCTCATTTAACATCGTCTTGTATTCATCATCTCTATCTTCTAAACCCCGCATTAGTTCAACCTGTCCAATACAAACACCACATCACTTATGGCTATTTTTTATTTTGATGATGAAGATGATAAGGAGGGCATTTACGTCTTTTGTACAGACAAAAAATTGAGAGCGAACCCTCTCCCACCTTGTTCCTTGTGAGTCGAGCAAAAAATTACAATTTTTGTCTCATTCACATCAGTCAGTCATATGATGTCAACGTCGTCGTCAGTCCAACACACATCAAACACAGTAAAAGGTGGGGCCCACATAGAATAATGTTTACCTGTTTTTGGAACATATCAAATTCATCGGAACTCAAAGAACCATCACTATTTGCATCAAGGAGTTGCATCATCTCACGTGCATCATCCCCTTGTGCACCAAGCTCTATCATCACTTCCGTGAGCTCCTCAATGCTAATTTTACCATCTCCATTCTTGTCCAGGAATCGGAATACACGATTCCGATTCCCGTCATCAATCACATGATTTTTAGGGTTTGTGGAAATAAAATCTTTTAAGCGCAATGCAGCGTATTCTGCAGCAGCAATCATAATAGTCTTCAGGTGTTTCGCCTGTAGATTACAAGTATATTGTTAATAATCAAAACCACATAAATCGAATGTGCTGTTTCTTTTTTTGTTTAAGGGCTAAATGCAAGAAATAGCAATTACTTAAAGTACAATGTTGTGATAGAAAAAAATAGATGCACAATTAAATGAAAGTACATTGTTATTTCTTGCATTTAGCTCCATTTTTGCAATTAATGAAAAAAAAAAGGAAACAAAACCTTACTTCTTCAGGATTAGTAAGACCACCTTTGTAAAAAGCATGTGAAGCCATTCCATCCAATGCAAATGTATTCATCTCTTCGGTCCTTATCTGTATCTCCATTAGCGGTCTAACCCCACCACCACCATTAACATCAACCGCCATATGCAAACTCTTATAACCATTTGCTTTAGGTTGTGAAATATAATCTTTTGATCTACTTGGCACCTCATTCCACAAACCCCTAATCACCTCTTGAGCCCTATAACACACTTTCTCACATTCATTTTCCCTAATCAACTTCAACGAAGGCTTCAATATAACCCGTAACCCTAAAATATCATTCACCTCCTCTGGCTTTCTCCCATCTCTCAATAACTTCTTCATAGTGCTATAATGACTCTTATACCTACCCTCAACCGATATCCCATCCACCATTTCCCCTAAAACCGAATCCGATTTCAGCAGTTGGAGCAGTTGTTCCTTGAGAATGTCTACTATCGGTTTACTTCCGGTTTCGTGGCTTCTTAACCATGTGTTTACGTGAAGATAGGAGTATGGAAACAAATAACGAAAACAAAGATCTTCGAGTTCGAGTGATAAAGAATTTGTCCCTATAGCGTGTGCTAATGGAGCATGGATCTTCATAACCTCAAGAGATACCATTTGTTGTAGGTATCGTGGGAGGTGATTTAGGTTTCTCATTTTATCCAGCTTAAGGGCAAGATCAAGAATTAAGGCGCGTACATCGTAATATGTTAGACAAAATTTTCGAAGGGCGGAAGCGGTTTCTTCATCGTATATGTCGATTTTGGACGCGATGTGTTTGACTCGAAAGGTTTCGTGTAATAAATGAGCAGTGCTAATACCGATTCTATCCTTTATTTGGTACATTGTTAGGGCATTTGCTTCAAGAACTTCACGTAAAATACCAACAGAAATAACTTCCGCATCCATCTAGAGGGGAATGAAATTTAATTGTTAGAAGTAGTTTGTTTTAAGGATAATATCACTAAATAGCAATCAAGTTTCACACATGTTCACCCTAGTTTTTTTTCAAGAATTTTCACTGACTTTCATTTTTGTTTTATTGATATGAAACTTGGTTACTATTTGATGAAATTGATTCAATAACCCTGCGAAGTTGTTCATCCGCTTTCATACCAATGGAGCAAATTTGAAAGTTAAATGGTTATATACCCTATTTGGAAAAGTGTGAAACTTTTTAGTACGTGGTGTCAATTCTTATAATTGAAAGTTATATGGTTAAACCCTTTTGGAACAAGTCTAAAACTTGGTTACTATCTAGGTTGTTTCCTTTAATATACAATTTTATCGGGAAAAGAGGATATAAATGGGTGGTGCCAATGGGAAATTGGGGAATTGCAAACGAGAATATAATTATCTAATGATCAAATTGGGAGTGGCATACGAGATTCAATCTTTATTCACTCAAGATTATGAAAATCCCTTCATGAAAGAAAACCCCATGTTTAAATCGTCTAATATATGTGGTTACCTGAAGATCGGCGAGAAGGATAGCTGCGGATAGTGCACGGGAGAGAGGGGAACGACCATCGGGAGCAAGAGGTAGAGTCTGTAAAATCGGGAGACAAAGTTTTAGGGTTTTGAAGAGCAATCCAGAAGAGCTGGTGGAGAGCAATTGGTGATTACTGTTCTTCATCCTATCGGTTAGCTCATTGAATGTCCCCACCAGCTCCACCACCATCTTCCCTCCAGGCTGTTCAAGGGAAACTGGTGAAGTTGGAGGAAGTGGAAGAGGGGTACTGGTTGCGGCGACGAAGAAGGAAGTGTGATGAAGTCGACGGGAGGTGGTTGAGGTTTGAAAAAGGAAAGGGAACTTGGTGGAGATCTTAATGCTACTTTTGGGGAAGATGAGCGTAAGATGGTATGGCGATCGAGTGTGCATAAGAACCTCCATTGAAGTTGTTTGCGAGGGTTTTACGGAGTGAAGAGGGAAAAGAAGAAAACTTGTGTGTTTGTGTGTTTTCTTATTGGTTCCTTGATAACGACGATGACCTACCGACAACGGCTTTCTGGTTTAGAAGGAAGCACGTCATTTTGCCCTTTTACCAACAACCCAGGCTTTCTTGGTTTGTCGACGGTGAGTTTTTGACCATATCCATAAGATTCAATGGAGTGGTGCGGTTTCTACCCAATGTTTTAAAAACCGGTTTTTTAGTTGAACCGGTATGATGATCGGTTTTCGGTTTAACCGGTTTGACCGCCGGGTGAACCGGTTTCTATATTTTTCATGTTTTTTTTTCTATTTTCCTACACATACATACATATAGAAATTATGAATTTGATGTTTACAAGTTCAAACATGAAAAATACACATAAAAATAAGTTGTAGATGAATCTAAATACATTAAAATAAAACATAACCATAAGTTTTAGTGTTTTACATCAATCCATATACGTCAAAAAGAAAATAAAGTATAATACCGAAACGAAATATAGTTTTTGATGAATACAAACACATCAAAAGAATTTATAACATTTACCATATGTTTTTATTTAGAGAAAACTAAATAGATTTGAAAAAAATCACCAAAGTTTATTATGTAAATGGTTCTTTTTCATGTGTTTTTATTCGGTTTACCGGCTCAACCGGTTTATTTTGACCGGTTCAACCGGTTTTTTCTAAAAACCGGTCGGTTCAATCCGGGTCAGAAATCAATGTAAAACCGGTGATAGTTGAACCGCTACCTCTCCTGGTTCCCGGTCCAACCGGTTCGATCGGCCGGTTCAAACCGGTTTTTAAAACATTGTTTCTACCATACTTTTTGCCGCATAGAGAAGGGAACACCGCCCCCAATGCTGTTTGAGTCCGGTTAGGCCGCACCTCACCTCTGTTTGACCGCGTATGTTGATTGGTTATTGTTGAACGGTCAAATATGTTGAAGATTTTTTTTCCTATAAATTAAACCATCTACTTCATTTGTTCAAACCAAAACCAAACTTTTACATTTCTCTATTGCTTTTTCTCTCAAAATTAATAGAAAATGTCATCTTCTGAAGAATTTCAAGTTACTTTTTATGCTGCTATTGTTTGTGCTCAAATGGCGGAACAAACGTATGACGCTTTATTCAATAACGCAGCCGAAAGTTTTCAATGAAAACATTTCAAAATCTTCGCACGGACACATTTACGGGATTCAACACATTAACCTTAATTTGGATCCACCGGATGAATCGGAAGACGAGTTCTCGGACAACGACTTTATGTAGTATGGTTTAGTTATTTTATTTGTGGTTTTTAAGTTATTTTAATCGTCTGATGTGTACTTTTTAAGTTTGTAGGATTTTTTTAATGTCATGTGTGTTTTTTTAGTAATGCAATGTAATGTTTTTTTTTTTTTTTTGAAGTAATGAAAAATTATGTTTATTTTATTAAAAAAGAAGTTTTATTAAATTAAATTATTTAAAAAAACAAAGAAAAGTGTGGCACCACTCCTTGGTGTAGCAAGAAACCACATTTGTGTGGTAAAAAGTGATGTGGCGCATATGTGGCAGTCAAGGGAGTGTGGTTTCGGTGACACCACTTCCTCCAGCCTAACAGGATTGAAAAAAGTATTTACTATAAAATTTATAGTGTACTTTGAAAAATATTTATCTATTAGTATTATTTATTTATTTTTAGTTTTTTCGTAATGCTTTTTTATTTTAAATATCTGATTTTTTTTCTTTTCTGTTTTACATTTTTACTGTTTTGTTATTTTTTTTAAATAATCGTTTTTGTTTCAATTTTTTTCTTTTTCTACTGTTTTAATAAATAATAATTCTTTTTTATTTTAAATATTCGTTTTTTTTATACAAACCTTTGACCATCAAGTTTTAGTCATCAAAAATTAAACATATAATATATTTTAAGTTGCAAAAATTCCAACATTACACATACAATGTTTTTAAGGTAAAAAAAACTCAACATTGTTCGTTAAAAAAAACACAACAATTGAAAAAAAACTCTAACATTGTTTGTTACAAAAAAAAAAAAAAAAAAAAAAAAAAAAAAAAAAACATAACAATTATCTTGAACTTGAACCAGTATCAAATCTTTACCTGTAAAAAATAATAATAATAATAATAAGATAATAGTTACAACAATACCATAAAAAATATTGTCTTTTTAATTACTTTGGCTTAGACGGACATCGTTTTCGATTATGACCCAGTTACCTACAAATTCCACAATCCAAAAAGATAATATTTTTTTTGTAGGTAATTCTAAGTCAATATAATTAAAAAGACAATATTTTTTTATTGTATTGTTGTGGCTATTCTTTTATTTTTATTTTTTTTCTTTTGTTTTACAGGTAAGTCAATATAAACAAAAAGAAAAACATCACAATTACCTGTAAAATAAAAACCTAAAAATATAAAATATAAAAAAATGTTATTTAAAAAAATAGTAAAAAAGGAAAAAAAATTGAAATAAAAACTGTTATTTAAAAAAATAAAATAAAAGAGAAAAGGAAAAAAAAATGGATATGTGTGAAACTCGTCGACGGTTGAGCATATGTGTGAAACTCATAGATAAAGAAAAGTAATTAAATATAACATATTTAATATGTTTTTAAAGAGTTATTTGTAGAAAATGAGATACTTACTTTGTTTTTTCAAAAGTTATTTGTAGAAAACTCCTTTAATTTAGGTTTTCGGGTAAAAAACATGTCACACATAACTTTGCCAAATCATCATCTACTCTTAATCATAAAAGAGTGGGGGGGAGAGAGACAAAACAGATGGTGTGACATAGTGTGGCTAAGCCATGCCTCTCCACTCCAAAAGCCACCATATCAACACCATGCCAAGGAGGGTGGTGTTCGTGGCATAAGAATCTCCTCATCACCATCATGTCCATGGCATTGGATGTATAGTGATATTGTCATATTTATACACATTTTTAGGCAATATTTTAATACATTTTAAGTAATGTTTTGGTTAATTGCAAAGATATGTAATACTTATTGAGTTAATTTATATTTTGCAGCCAAATAGGAGACTCTTGAAGAATAAGGACCAGAAGTGACAAGCATTGGAACTTTGGAGGATTGGAGCTTAAAAGAAGATTTCAGCAGAAAAAACCAAGCTCACGACATGAGACATCAATGCTCACGACGTGAGGAGAGAACTTCTAGAAGATTAGTATGTGGAGGCCAGAATCCTTGCACGATACAGATAAATACCAAGCTCACGACGTGAGACTCCTATCTCACGACGTGAGCCACGATTTTATGAAAACTATAAATACTCCTTACATTTATCGATTTAAAAAGCTTTTGGAGAGAAGATATCCAGAGATACACGAAAATTGAGGTCAGAAACCTGCGAAAAACATCTTTGGAAGGAGAGCTTGCGTGAAGATAAAGAATTTGAAGAACAAATCATTACATTCTGTTTGCTTTACTTGAATCATGTCAATTTCTTATGAATTTGTGTGTTTGCTTCCAGTCATGAATAGCTAAACTCGTTTACTTTCGTTTAGCTAGATGAAACCTTAGAACTATGGTTTAATTTATTATTTTATGGATTTTATAAAGTTGGATTTATGCTTGTGTTTGATTATCATTACCTAGCATGTTAAAGTTTGTGACTTTGTTGCTTAAATTCAAGTTTAGTGTAGCTTAGTGACCATTAAATTGCATGAACTTGTTTACCTAGTAGTTTAGTGACTATTAAATTGCTAGAGCTAGAAGTGACCATATCTAGATTTAGTAATAAAAGTAACAAACTTAAACTGTGTTGGAGAACATAATCGTGACCACAATTATGTTTGCTTAATTGCCTTAGATAATTCTTACATATCTCAATTACAATTAATAACTATTTCTGTGTTTGCTTGTGTATGACCGTACATAGTAGTACATGAATTGATTAAAATATTAGTAGACTGGACCAAGATTGCTAATTACATAATAATGGGTAACCGACTTTATTAATCTATAAATAGTAGCTAACCATAGGAAAAAGGTGGATTCGAAACTAAATGAAAGTGATTTTACTATATTTTAGTGAAACCATTTTTAGTTAAGTGCTTAAGTTTTTCTGAACTTGAAAAATCAGATAAAACCCCTTTTAAATATTGTTTGCTTTTAGATTAACTTTTAGTAGTTACTTTAGTATACTAAATTCGTTTCCTCTGTTCGATACCCGACTATTCGTGCTATACTATTTGTTATTAGGTCCACCGCCTTAGATGTAATAATTAGTTAATTAGTTGGTTAAAACTAGTAGGTATAATTTTACGCATCAAGTTTTTGGCGCCGTTGCCAGGAAACAACTATTTTAGTTTTTAATTTAATTTCTTTAGGTTAATCGATCCTTTTTGTGGGGTAAAACCTGCAAAAAGTTACTTTTTAGCACTAGTTAAATTTTCCTGAAATACTGAACTCACGACATGAGCTCTTAAAACTCACGACGTGAGATCTGGTATTCCAGATTTTATTTTGTTTTTACTTTATGTGTTAGTTTATCTGCTTTTCCACGAGGAGACACTTAGTACCACGTCGTAGTAATCGTTCAGTAGTTTTTTATTTAGGTTTAATTCCTTTTTTAAGTTTTTGCTTTGGTTTTTTTTTGTTTCAGTAGTATATGACCCGCGGATCAAACACACCACTAACACCACCATTTGATGATCCAGAGTCAGTCTTTCATAAAAAGAAGGACAAGTAAGTAGAGGATCAAGCAACAAGCTGAAAAACGAAAGCACATTCGAAAGCTTTGAGAAGACTCCTACCAAGAAGGAAGTTGGTTACGAGCCCAAAATAGAAACAGACAAAAGTAGCAAACCCGAAAGCGAGCCCAAAAACAACATGACGGACATTGCTGACATGATGATGGAGGCATACAATAAAAGAATACGTGAGGACAGCAGTCCAGGACTTGTGCAACCTGCAATTCCCACTACTGCTACCTTCGAGCTTAAGGGACACATCCTTTCCGTGTTAAAGGATATTCCATTTTCCGGAAAAGATCATGAAGATGCATACAAGAACCTTGATGAAGTCAATGACATTGTTGATTACTTCAATATTGCGAATGTACAACGAGAAACTTTCTTGTTAAGGATGCTTTCAGTTACCTTTTCAAGGAGCAGCAA